TTAATTGAAAATCACGATTGTTTTAATTGATTGTCGCGGTGTTTTAAATGAATGTCATGGTTGTTTTAAATGGTTGTCATGGTTGTTTGAAATGGTTGTCATGGTTGTTTGAAATGTAAAAACCGGCAAATAAAATCGCTGGTGAATAATAATAACAAAAAACATTTTTGGCCTGAAATTGATATAATATATACTGTAAAAAAGTAATTAATGTTTTCATACTTTACTTATAAGTAGTAATTAAAAATAATAATTAAGTTTTTAAATTAAATAAGCAAAAAAAATATATCTTACCAACGAAGAAATATATTAAAAGATAAGAAGAAAATAAGAAGAAAGCTAAATATAAAAAAGAAAGCTGGAAACTGAAGTTGATCAATTTGCTTGTCTTGCTCGAGAAAGAGAACGGAAATTTCGAGCTAGAGCAAATGAATCAGTATTCTTTTCACTATCAGCTGATGGTACCACTGATATTACACTCTGTGAGCAAACTATTATTGTATTACTTATGTTACTCTTACTGCAGAAGAGGCCGTTGTAAAGGAACATCTGATTTCAATGGTTGAAACTGAAACAACTACTGGTAAAGGAATAAGTGAAAAAATTAAAGATGAACTCAAATCAAATAACGTAGATATTCAAAAGTGTGTGGATATGTATTTTGATGGTGCAAACAATATGCAAGGAAAAAAAAAAGTAGTTGCAACACATTTGAAGCAGTGTTCACCCATGGCAATAAATTTTTGTTGTGGATCTCATGGAACAAATCTGGTTATTAAAGCTTGTGCAAAATCTTCTGTTGTTTCTGTTAACCTTTTTGGAACAGAAAACGGAAACTCAAGGAAACAATATTATATACTTGAGAAATGCAAATCTCTTCATGAGGATGTGAATCAGTCTCTTGAACTGGCTGCTACTCACAGTGTTCGTTTCAGTGCCTTACAAAATGCTAAAGACCAACTGCTAACACTATACCCTAAAGTAATCGATTGCCTTGAACAAATTTCATATGACATGGAATTTAAAATGAATATTCGAAGTAAAGCATAAGGTTTTTTATCCCAATTTCAGTCATATGAAACAATTGTAACTTTATGTCTCTTCAAAGAAATTTTTTCTCCTAAATAAAATTCAAAGAAATTTTTACTATCTCCTAAATAAAATTATTTTTACTAAGTCCTAAATAAAATTCTTCATGGAGAAACACTTAATTTTACCATTGGTACAATCTCTGTAGATGTATCACTCAAAAAGTTTCAAAAACTAAGGGACAGTGCTGGCCAAAATGCTATTTTATCTGCTGTTAAAATTGTAACTTAAGCTCAGCTTGAACAGGAAGCATTTGTTGAGAAAAGGACTCGCAGGAAGAAACAACTGGACTTCGATAAAACATAAGATAAGCGGCTTACTCAGGCTAGAGATCAGTGGCTAGCAGAAGTGTTTTATATTCTAGTGGATTCAGCAACTGCAGTTCTTGTTGACAAATTTTTTTCACAGCAAAAATATTTAGAAAGCATTGCCATCTTTTTATTGAAGAATATGAATGAAGATATTAGTCATGGTTTTCATAACTCTAATTTACAAGAAAAAACTCAATCAGTGCTTGAAAAATTCAAAATTGGTATTAGTTTCACTACTGAAATAGTTGATTTTGCGGAGATCTACAGAAATTGGTTGATTTTGCGGAGATCTACAGAGAGGTTGCTGAGAAGGATAACAAAACCACTTTCCTCGCCATTTATAATTTTATGCTGAAGACTATATTAGATGCTGTATTCCTCTATGTTGCAGTTCTATACAAGATGTTCAGTACAATTCCAACAATTTCAGCAGAGTTATGATAGAGGTTTCAGCAAACTTAAACTTGTCAAAACTCGTCTAGCAAATTGGTTAGCATCAGAGCATGTTGGAGATCGTGTTCTCTTGTCAGTGGAACACGGGAAAATGTGGAATTTGACGCATTCAGACATGATAAAAAACTTGAGTTACGTAATATTTTGTATCCATAAAAAACCTTTTTTAGTATAAATATAATTTTCCTCGATCGTTTATTTGTCGAAAAAAAAAATACAAAAACTATAAATACTTTTATCAATGCTTACTCAAAAATGCAAAAACACAATTTTGTAGGAAAAAAATTACTGAATGTAAATTTAATATAAAAAAAACTATGGAATGCAATTAACAATATAATGGTCGTAATAAAGGTAGTTCATCACTTCCTTTCAATATTACTATTAAAGATGCTGATATTCACTGCCCTATGCAAGTCTCAAAAGAGTTTAACAATTACTTTACTAACTTTCATCAAATTTAGCTGCTAAAATCGTACCTCTAATTGATTCATTTAAAATATATTTAAATTCATCTAATAATTTATTAATTGACAGCAAATTAATGGTAAAAGAAATCGAGGATGCTTTCTCATCTTTATATCAGCTAATATAGCAGTTTTAAACAAAAAGTTTTTCAGAAGGAGTTCCACAAGGTTCAATACTCGGATCTCTCCTATTTCTAATTTATATAAACGACTTTTTTAATGTATCTACAAAATTAAATTTAACAATGTATGCTGATAATTCTAATTTATTTATGTCCAATAGTGATATTAATCAGCCATATGAAGATATGAATATTGAATTGATGAAATTAAATAAATGGTTATGAGCTAACAAGCTCTCAATAAACACAGATAAAACTCAATATACGTTATTTTATAAAAAGTTAAAAGAAGAAAATCTGCCACTTAAGTTACCATCTCTCTTTATAAATGATAAATAAATTAAAAAGCAGGAATTTTTAAAATACCAATGAGTTTTTGAAGATAAAAACTTATCTAAAGTTCCTCACATAAAATATAAAATAATAAAAAAATAAAAAAATGGGCACAATGTACAGAATTAGCCCATTCATAAATACTCAAAGTCTTAAATTATTATTCTTTAGTCTAATTCATAGCTACATTAATTATGGTAACATTGCGTGGGCTAGCACACAACATGCTAAACCTAAAAATATATTGTGCAAAAACTTGCTAGCGGAATTATTTTCCAAAAAGATAAGATTTTTATCTCATTACATTCAAAGTTTTAATTTTCTTAATAAAGAAAATTAAAACTTTGAATGTAATGAGATAAAAAGATTTCAACGCATAATCTTTATGTATAATCATTTTAAAAACTTTTCACCAAACAACTTTGAAACAAAGTTTCAAATAAATCAAAGCAATAACTATTATCTAAAATCTAATGAGAGGCTCTCGTATAAACACTGATGAGAGGCTTTCATATACACTGCCTCGTAAATTAACTAAATATAAAGAGTACAGCATAACATACCGAGGGCCTAAGATATGGAACAGTTTTAAAAATAACCATTTTAATATGGTGAAATGACTAAATTTATTTAAGTTTCATATAAAAAGAGAAATTTTGAAATCAAAAGAAAGCTATAAAATTTGATATATAAACCTTTTTGTTAAACATAATTCCTTACAAGATGTGATATTTTTTAACTTAATTTATATTTATAGGAGTTTATTCTATTTATTGCCATCTACTCTGAGATGCTAATTTTTTCATATTTTAACGGAGTTTTATATAATTTTTTTAACAATTTTTATTTACTTTAAACTTTTAGAAAGTCTAAATATAGGTTTTATGAAAAGATTGTGATGACTTTTGTCATCCGTATCTTCTTTGAGTCCCTGTCTGTTAATATGAATTGTTTTTATTTTATTTTATGAAAATATTTTTTTGTATTTGAAAATATTTCTTTGTATTTGAAAACGTTTCTTTGTATTTTTTTTAATGGTATTACTGAGCTATGATGTATTCACTACCTGTTAGTGGGTGCTAGTATGCTCAACCACAGCTAAAAGACGTTTTAGCAAAACCAGACCGTATCAGAACGATGTGCCTTCAAAGTTGATATTAAGTACCTCGTCTAAATACACAACAGCCATAACAATTATCCTTTAACCCTTTTAGCTTTAGTAGTTTCAGAAACATAGCTTCTTAAAATTAAGTATGTACAACTTCACTAAGTATGTCAAGCTTGTCCCTAATTTTCGCCGTAAAAAGGCATGTTAATTGCTCTTAAATAATTGTTTTTTAATTTGAATACAGTTTAAAAAATGATTGTAAAAATTTTTATTGAAAGTTGAGATTTTGTTCAAATAAAAAAAAAAAAGAAACTTGATGTAAACCATACAACAAGTAGTTGTGTAGTACCATACGACAAGTAGTTGAGTAGTACTTGTTTTAAAGCTGCGCAAGCTTAAAGCTTTATAGCTACTAAAGCTTAAGAATTTATCTGCCCGGAAAGCATGCGTTCTAAGGAAAATGTGACCACTGAGTACTTTTCAAAAACAGAAATTTTATATAGGATAGCAATTCCGCGAGTTACGTTCGTAATATTTTACAGTATTTAAGCTATTAAAAACGAACTGAAAATGGAAATAACTTGAAACTTTCCAGAAATGTGAAATACTATCATATAATCTAGTATATAAAAGTTTTTTTTACATTTTTTTTGTAGTGGCGGTCGTAATGAAAAATCCAATGTTTAAAAACAACAAGTAAAACGACACAATCAATAATAGAAAAAAGTATAAATAATTATTAAAAACTATGTATAATATTTAAAAAAAATGCATTATCGAAATTCCTAATTGTAGATATATTTTTAAAGCTACACAACAGGACTGTAAATAAGCGTCAAAACAAGTTTATACAACCCTTACAACTTTAAAACCATGATATGGTATAATAAAACGATTTAAAAAAATTTTTTTTGCTATTAAGCATTTTTAAATAGTTATAAAAAAGAGCTATGGAGTTTAGTGTTTAGAGCTATGGAGTTTAGTTTGAGTTTTCATAAATATTTTGCTTTTTTTTTCTTCCTATTTCTCGCGGAGTCGCTCAGCTTTTTTTTAAATTTGAATAAAAAATGAAATCCAGAAAACTTAAATTTAAATAAAAACAAAAATAACTCAATAATTTTAGTTTATCAATTTATTTATATATAGTTGCGTATTTTATTTCATAATTACTACCTGAACCATTAGGAATCATTAAATAAGCGATTTGGAAATCTTTAAGGAAGACTTTGTTACAGATGGGCAGGAATTGTGCGATAGCAGTTCACCACTACATGCTTGGATTAGGGTTTTAAATTTATTTTACATATTTCATATAGAATTAAAATAAAAACTTAGAAAATAAAAAAGGTTTTAAAAGATCAATATTTACAGAGGAAAAAAATTATTCATGATAGGATGTTTGAAGCATGTTTTTCCAGAGTTGATGAGCCAAGAGCTGACGGATCAGGAACTAATAATAGCAGAAATGCTGACGAGCATTTTTTGATCCTCTATCACTTAGCGAAATTTTAGAAATTGATGAAAAAATTACGATCAGATTATATAACAATCTAAGATTTTAAACTAGAACCATTAGGTATTATTAAATCTCTGACATTGCTTCATGATATGCATAATTAATCAAACCGGCAGATGAAGAGATCTTAATGTCAGGTTCAGAAAATTCTGAGTTTACAAATCTTTCATTCGACAAAGAAAATTATGGTTCGGTTAATGGCATTTCGTTAGTTTCGTTAGCTATTTCAACATCTTTATTTGATTCAACATGCACGGAATCTTGTAAGGTTTCTTCTTCAAGCGCCATATCTGTTTCAGATGAAAGACTGTTAAACGAAGCTACGTTATAATAGATATTCTTTTCATCAATTTCAAAGTTGAAATAGGAATCACTTTGAGATATTATTGCATCAAGATGCTCACGAATCTCAGTAAATGTTGGTCTCTTTAATGGATCTTCATTCCAACAGTGCAACATAATGTCATACCTAAATTTGTATATAAAAAGTATAAAACAGTATTTCTAGAACGCAAACAGGTGAGAGTTCCTCCGATTATTATAAACAGACTAGATGTTGTTAAAAAAAAAAATTAGTAAAATTTATTAAAATAAAAAGTTTAATAGTGCCTGAATAAAATTTAATTTTTGAATCGTAAAAGCAATTACAATTAAAAAACCACGTGATTTACAATATTTATATTTGCGTAAACTTTTTTTTTTTTAAAATAGTTATTATAATTTATTTTTATTATATAAATCAAAATAAGAAACATAATAAAGTACATATATAAATGATAAATAAAAAATAAATAATACAAAATTGATAATCGGAATAAAGTTTTTTGTATCAAACGCTAAAACTAGATTATTAGACAAAAGAGAAGATTAAAAAGAAAATTGTAAAAAAATTAATTATAAGTTTTATTATAAAAGTTGTAAAAAACTTTCCGGAGAAAAATATTAATTATAAAAGTAAAGAAGTTGGTATACTTAAACATACTTAATACCTCATAATGCGCATTCTATCTAATTACTAAACCAAAATATCAAGTAAAATCTAATATAAATATAACATGCGATAGTGGTGTATTGGTTAGAGCGCTCGCTTCATAAGCGAAAAAAATTTCGATCCCTACCACGTTCCTGGTACTACCGCGCTAAACCTGTTTCTCCAAGCAGCGTCCTTGTTCGTCAAGGTTCGTGTTTCGGAGTCGAAGAGTTGAGAAAGACTTGTAACCACAATAAAGCAACCTTTTCTACTGTAGTGGCCTTATCAGCCGTGGGAAGGTGAATAACATTAAATGGATTAAAAACTATTTTATTATTTAACATTAAAAACTAACGTAATAAAAAATATCTGCCTCCATTACTCAATAACGTTTTCACTAGATTAATTAAACAATAACATGTTATTGCAGTTATTTATGTGAGCTGTTTTACTCGTTTACCTGAAGATTTAATAAAGACGGTAACTGTAACTGCTGGTTATTAACTGATTTCTTTACATAAAAATATTTCAAACCGAATGCTAACAACAGGATTTTTGACATTTAAAACACTCCAAGAAGAGGTAATTTTTTTAACAAATGTGACAGAACCTACAAACGATTTTTAATTTTTCTATATGCAGTTTCTTTGCAAAAAAACACTCAAGCAAAACTGTCTAAAAAATATTGTCTCCTTATTGGTCTTAGATTACCTAACCTAATGGTAAAAAATATAAATTAGATGGCGTCAAATAAAAGTTTTTTTTTAAGAAAAATATTAAACTCATTTGGTAAAACGTTTAGAAATCTTCTTAAATATACAGTTCTTCGAACATTACTCGCCAGTGTTGGTAAATAACTTGGTTGAATATTTCTCAAAACAGATGGATGGTTTAATGGTCTTTGTTTTCCAGATTTGGTTTCAAAAGCTGCATCATCAGCCCAATGCAGTCGGCATACTACTGAGTAGTTGTAAATAATTTTTTACACTCTACTGGATTCTTTTAGCATTTCTTACTGGTTATTTTTGTTTCAGTTGAGTGTTCATCTTGTAGAGAGGTACGTAAAATTTAAAGAGGTTGTCCATAAATTGTCACAAAATTTTTGAACGTTTTCGACCCCCATCCCTCTTTCGTCACAACATTGTAACTCTTACGTAACAAGTCTCGTACGAGTTGTCACTAAATCACTAATCCTTCTCCCCCTAAGCACGACGTAATTTATGGACGACCCCTAAAGAAAATTTATCAACTATTATAATAACTGTTGGTTCAAATTCAAGCAAATTTGTTCAACAAAGTTTTCTGAATATTGTTTAACAAACTAAATAGTCAAAATTAACTTGAAAGTTTATTTTTATGTTGTGTTTAAATTGTAAACTAATCAAGTTTAAGAAAATTACATAAAAAATGCAAACTTTTATCTAAACAAGAAAGATAAAAATGTAATGGTGTGCGGCCGTGGCATAGTGGTTAGAGCGCTTGCTTTATAAGCAGGAGATCCAGGTTCGAAACGAGCTTTGGACATATTTCGCGATACAGTAAAGAAGGAGGCGTGAACTCTCTGGTTAAATGCACTTCCGCGGTGCTCTGTGACAAGACCGTTACGACTTCTTTGGGCACCTAAATTAACAAACTTGAATTGGCGTAGAACTCTTTAGCTTTTGAATTCAAAAATGATCGAGGTGCTGTCGGAGTGCTTTTTAGTGATTGAATTTTTCATCGCATAAGCTGTTGCTTAGTGATTTAAAGAAATTAAAAAAATATTATTGCTAATTTGGGAAAGTAGAGCTAATGATGCAAGAATTTACTTCCACGTTCTAATAATTTTTGCCAGATCAATATTTCTAAATGAGGACTCATCTCAAATGAAAATACAAAAACCTTGAAAACAAAATATGCTATATACCATGGAAAACCCATGAGTTTTCCTTATAAAGGTGTTCCTGGATAACTCATGCATTTTCTCATGCATTTTCCATTAATAACTCATGGGTTTTCCATGGATAACCAATGGTTTTTCAATGAAAACGTGTTCCAAATACCCATCGTTTTTCTATGGGGTTTTTTCATAGATTTTCCATGGAAATGTTCCGTAAGGGAACATTTCCATGGAAAATCTAAAATTTTATAGAATATGTTAGTTTGAAACGAATTGAAGCAAACCACTTCAAAAAATTTTTAGTTTTTTTTTAACTTTTATTTCTGTCCAAATTAAATCTTTTAAGACTTTTTACATGAGTTCCAAACAGTTTTCTGGTTATTACATTCTGTAACCAAATTTTAAAAGAGCAAGAGGTTCATGGTTATTTAATAAAGGATATATTTTTTCCAATCGTAGTATAAAAGTTGTCCTTGATGGACAGCACTCTTCTTCTTATTCTGTAACCTCAGGGGTCCCCCAAGGTTCAATCCTTGGCCCTTTACTCTTTTTAATTTACATGAACGATCTTCCAGATATTCTCACATCTACGGTGGCATTGTTCGCTGATGATACTACCATTTATTCTTGTCACGATAAGAAGCCAACTCCCTCTGATTGCTTGCAGGGGGCATCTGAACTTGAAAAGAATCTCACTTCTGCTAAAGCATGGGGCTCACAGTGGCTGGTGAACTTTCACTCAGATAAAACTCAATTTTTTTCGGCCAATCGTTATCGCAATAATTTAGACCTTCCTATATTTATGAACGGTAATGTACTCGATGAGTCTCCTACCCTTCATCTTCTAGGATTAACTCTTACTTCTAATCTTTCTTGGAAACTTTATATCAAATCCGTTGCAAAATTAGCATCTGCTAAAGTTGCTTCTCTTTATCGAGCTCGTCACTTTCTTACTCTGGATTCTATTCTCTATCTCTATAAATCTCAAATCCGGTCTTGTATGGAATACTGTTGCCATATCTGGGGTGGATCTTCTAATGATGCCCTTTCTCTTTTAGACAGGCTGCAAAAACGCATTGTAAACATAGTTGGACCTGCTCTTGCAGCCAACCTTCAACCTCTGTCACATCGTCGTAATGTTGCTTCTCTTTCTCTTTTCTACAAATTCTATAATGGGCACTGCTCCAAAGAGCTAGCGTCTCTTGTGCCATCTACTAAAATTCATTCTCGTGTTACTCGTCATTCAATTAAGTCTCATCTTTTTTCTGTTACTGTTCCTAAGTGCTCCAAAAACTCTTATTTGTCTAGTTTTTTTCCTCGAACATCAGTTCTTTGGAATTCGCTTCCTTCATCTTGCTTTCCTGATTCATATAATTTGCAATCTTTTAAGTCGTCCGTTAATCGTTATCTTGCTCTACAATCTTTATCTTTTCTCTTCCAGTAACTTCCAACACTAATTAGTGGTTGCTTGCAGCCTTGTTGGAAGCGAAGATAATTAAAAAAAAAAAAAAATGGTTTACTTCCTAGTATTAAAAATAAAATTAGCAATATAAGAATTGAAACAAAACATTAAAAATACTTAATTTTATCTATTTATAACGTAACCTAATGTAAAAATTAAAAATGAAACAACACCATAAACCTATCTAAAACATTTTTGAAATTCATATTAAGTTAAAAGATTAAAATGTAAAACGAACTATAAAATGGCAGACACTTTTATGGCGCGATATTAAGACCTGGTATTATATTAGGTTGGCTAAAAAGTAATAAGAGTTTCTTCAACAAAATTAAAAATTTATTTTTAATTTTGTAACTAATCTTCAATAATATATGCACATAATAGAAGATTGTCAATGACTTTTTTTTTAACGCCTAGGCAAAGAATTATTATTGTTTGCATAGATCTATTTAGTTCTGTTTTTGAATAAAACTCTAGAGTCAAAGTTTACTTCCTCTATGACAACAATGTAAAACTTTTCACATTGTGAATATCTTTTAATGTTAATTCAGGCAAGTAGGACAAATGAGGTAAGAAATACCTGCCAAGTTATAATAAACATTGCGTGTTGATTTTGCAATGTGAGGACAAGCATTATCATATAGATAGTAAACTCTATCTTGATCCGGGCATTTTATGAAAGTTCCACTTCAGTCAAGTATAGTAGGTTGTTGGCATAATTATAGTGTTTGCTGAAAGCAGATCCCAATACACAATGCTGTGCACATGCTACAAAACCGAGAGTAACATTTATTTGGGAGAATGTAGGCTGACTTTTATAGCTGCTTTTTTGATGTGCTTTACATAGAATTACCCATTTGGATAATGACACAGTCAAGTCGGTTAAATATGTGGTGTAAAGAATAACCTGTTAGCGTAATTCAGACAAGTAGGAATAATGAGCTTAGACATATTAACCAAGTTACAATTAATTTTGTCACGTTGAACTGAGGTGACAGCAAGGTTTTATACTTCACCTCTGATATCTAACTCTAACCTTTCTGATTGCATATATTCCACGTGGCTTTGGTTGTTAACTGACTAGCAAAAAATATTAGCACAATATTGTTTATTTAGTTTATATACTGTAAAAAATATTGTTTGCTACTCAGATAATCAACCTGATTAAAACACATAAAGCGTTTGTTGTCCATTGTATAAAAACTGGATAATTAAATTAAGATAAAAAAATAACAAAGCATGGAGGTTTCCATTATTACAACATAATATGCCTTCTATACAACTTCTATACAACTAGGAAAATGAGGTTAGAACCCAGTCTAAATTCCTATAGGATCCAATGAAGTACCCTCGCCTATAATTCTATAGTATCGAATACAAAATGGGAACAAAAAATATGTTGGTATGAAACACATTATCTATGAGACTTTTAACTAGATAATTAAATTACTTAAAAAAGTTTAAAAATAACTTACATGAGCCCAGAACAGTTTTCTGGTCGATCCATTCTGTACCCAGATTTTAAAAGAGCAAGAAGTTCACGGTTATTTATTGATGGATATGGTGTACCTCCTAGAAAGAAAATAAAAAATCAGTAATACAAAAGTGAAAAAAACAAACAAAAAATATCAAAATTTATTTATTACTTACACATACCTAACGTAACAATTTCGAATAAAACAACTCCATAAGCCCATCTAAAACATTTTTGAATTCTTATATTAGTATAAAAAAAGTTTTTATAATTTAAAATAGCATTAAGATTAATAGTACAAAAAAAAAGAGTTGAAAGTTTACACATCACTGTATGATGTAAATGTTTGATCAAAGATGGCTTCAACAGACATCCACTTAACCGGTAAACGACGATTTTTTCTGCCTACATAATTTAATTCATCGTTGACTTTACGTGTTAGGCCAAAATCAGAGATTTTTATATTTTTTTCAGCACCAACCAATATATTTCTTGCAGCAAGGTCTCTGTGTACAAGTTTTATACATGAAAGATATTCCTTAAAATTAAGATGTCAAAATTAATGCATGAGTAATTGTATAAATAAAAGAAACACCAACTAAACACACCTAAACATGGCCTATTATACTGACAGTGTAAGTAATATCAACTTATTAAAGTTTTCTGAAGTTTAATTTTGACAATTCTTTGTGACCTCAAAGCTTAAACCAGGTTTTTACATTTTTAATTCTTTATATCTTCATTTTCAATTTATCTTAAGCATATTTAAAAAGGTAATAAATAACAGAAAAAAAATTATCATGGTTTAAAAAAAACTGTCGGCAACTCTTTTATATTGATATATGGCGCGTTAAAAAATTTGTATATATATAATAAAAAATAAAAATATACATATAAAATATGTATATTCGCTTATTTTCTAGAACTAAATAGTAAAATTGATCGAACATGATTTTCAGTTGTGTCACTGGATGTAGAGGAAATTACAATGTTATGTCACTGCATACAGAAGTAACTACAATGTTACAAATCTGTCAAAGTTTTACACCTTCCAAATAAAAAAAAATTGGACTAACAAAGAAGATGGATAAGTACTAAACCTCAAGTTAATACTCCAGATGATAATTTTATTTGCTGAGCTTTAAAGATAATAAAAAAGCATTAGACTAGGGAAAGTTATGACCAAAACATCTGCCTATATTTATTTTTTTGTGTAAAATAAATTCAAAAACATAATTTTTATAGCCACTACCAATTCCAACAATAAATTATTATCATCTTTAAGAAGTTATGAAATTTTTTTTTCAAAGCTAACAGCATTTTATCCTTTGAAATTCTGAATGAAAAAATATTTTTCTTTGTTGATAATATCTACAAAATTGTTTACATCTTCAATCGCCTGTTACATTAGAAAACTTGGACTTTTTAAAGTTTATATTATAGAAAAAAATAAAACGATTTGATAGTTATCAGCTGTGGGGTTAAGTGGATCATAAATCCTTTTTTTTACAACCATATGAATACTATTGATTGTGTTAGTTGTCTCCATGCTGCATATTCAGATAGTATATATAGTTATATACTATCTAAATATATATATATATATATATATATATATATATATATATATATATATATATATATATATATATATATATATATATATGTATATATATATATATATATATATATATATATATATATATATATATATATATATATATATATATATATATATATATATATATATATATATATATATATATATATATATATATATACACAAAGGTAAAGATAAAGTACAAGAAATCAGTATTTAATTAAATTATTTTTAATTAAATAATTTTACTATTATTTTATTAATTAAACTATTATTTTATTACTTAAAAGCTCAAGAAAAATAGTGCACTAACTATTAGGGAGTCAGACAAAATACATTAAACTTAATTGTGTTTTTTTATTTAAACTATTTATTAATTGCTTATATATTTAAACTAATTTATTTATACTATTATGGAGACATTCCAAAATACTTTTAACTTTTCTTCTTGTATTGTAGCTACAGAACCATTAAAGCTTTTTTATGTTTAATGGTTTGCAATGTGTGATCATATTACAATTTGTTACTAAATCGTTGCTGGTTGTCTTAAGGATCCTCCATAAAGTAGGTAAAAAAGTAAGTAGGGGAGGAGGGGTATTCAAAAAGGGAAAGAGGGGGTGTTAAATCATCACATACTTTTAATGGCATCCCATACTTTACAACTTTATCTAAAAAAGTCGGCCCTTAAGTTTTTTTTGCTATTAGGTATATACATTAAAGAAAGACATAAATAAATTTATTAGAATATAGGCAGCATTTGCAAAAATTGACCTTAATTTTTCAAAAATGAACTCAAATGTGGAAGGGGACCAAAATCATGTTATGTCTAAAATTATCCAATATAGATGGTAAAAAAACTTTTAAAACTTATTTCAATAATGTCAGTAAATATAGAACAGTTTTAAAATATTTAGTGTGGTTCTCTAGCCCTCCTTCAATCAACAACCTTCACCCCCCAACCCCTTATGTAAGTGTGGTTTTATAAATGCTTACTTAAAATTTGACAGTTATATAAGTTAATAAGCAAAAATGAAACTCATTTTTTAATATTTATAACTCTACTAGAGGTACAGAAG